TTAAAAGGGGGGTCTGTCACAAGCACTTTCTATGTGCAAGACACGACACGAGGTACTCCTGGAGACATGCACATCAATTAAACAACTGAATCTCAAGGCGCTCACATAACCACAGATGCCCATGACTAGCCTAATACAAAACAGAATGGGACTAAGTGCTTAAAACAGAGCCCTGTGAAGTGCCATGAAGCAGAAAGCCAGCTACTACAACCACATTGTCCTAAATGAGAAAACTGAGGCTGAAATTATTCAATCAGATAATGCACAGGCAGAAGGCAGATCTCTGTCTTGTTTGGCAAGCCCAGTGCTTCTGTCACTTTCCCATGCTGTCTCTAATTCAATCTTTTTTTACTATCACTTTTTTTCCCCTGAGTCGCGGTTCCAGGCTGGAGTGTAGTGGCAGGATCACAATGATCATGGCTTACAACAGCCTCGACTTCCTGGACTTAGGCGATCCTTCCACCTCAGCATCCCAAGTAGCTGGGCCTACAGGCATGCACCAAAATCAGCTATTTAAATTTTTTGTAGAGACGAGATTTTGCTATGTTGTCCAGGTTGGTCTCGAACTCCTAGGCTCAAGCAATCTGCCTGCTTTGGCCTCCCAAAGTGCTGGGATTACAGGAGAGTACCTGGCCTTCCTATCACTTTTGATAAGAACAAATAAAGAACAGATTAATGCAATTTCTCCCTTTCTCTAATATGTAAAAAGTTGATTTATTCCAAGAATCTTCTTTTAAATGTACACTCAATATCTGAAGAAATGTATAATCCCATAGTACCTACTACTATGAATAACACACTAAAACTTATTCAGTGCTCCTGTATGCCAGACCACTGTACTAAGTGTCTTTTGACTACTGAATTCAACCCTCACAACAATACTATAAGGTAGGTATTATTGATCAGGCACAGTGGCTCATACCTGCAATCCCAGTACATTGGAAGGTCGAGATGGGAGGATCACCTGGGGCCAGGAGTTCAAGACCAGCCTAACATAGTGAAACTCTGTCTCTACAAATATATATATATATATATATATAAATTTTATACACATTAAAAAGCTAAGTATTATTATGTCCATTTTTCAAATGAGAAAACAAATGGTAAGTGATTAGCCCAAGTTCAAAGTAGTGCATCTGGCTTGACTACAATGTGTGCTCTTACAACTTCTATATAGTACCTACAAGGGAAAAAATGATTCATTTTAAAATTGATATTTGGAGCTCAATGATGGGCCTGTGAGCTATACTGGAAAATAATCATGATTTTTTAAGTTGCACTTAAAGTATCTGCTTAAATTACAGTATATCATGCTGTTCTAGCAAACAGGAGAAGCCAAGGTTAGGTAATTTTCCATTTATGCTTATAGGAACTCCACATAAGAAATTCCAAAATAATAAAGAAAAACAGATTACCCAAGCAACCATTAAAGCATAAAGTAAAGAACAATAAGCCAAATCACACAAATACACTTAAAATTTAATTATCCAAAGACAATTCTACACTAACATAAATGTGATTTTCAACTACAGGCAAAAAGCATGTCAGCAAATAACTACTAGACTGGCATTGAACAAATACTAGAATCTAGGACATAAAAACACAAAAATCTGGCTGGGTACAGTGGCTCACACCTGTAGTCCCTGCACTTTGGGAGGCCACGGCAGGAGGATTGCTGGAACCCAGGAGTTCAAGACCAGTCTAGGCAACATGGCGAGACATTATCTCTCTAAAACTTCAAAAAGTCAGCTGGGCATGGTGGCACTTGCCTGTAGTATCAACTACTCAGGAGGCTGAGCTGGAAGGATTGCCTGAACCCAGGGGGTAGAGGCTGCAATGAGCCATGGTTTGTGCCATTGCACTCCAGCCTGGGTGACAGTGTGAGACTCAGACTCAAAAAGAAAAAAAAAACCCCACAAAAATCTAACTTTGATTTCTCATGGCAGTCAAAACAGATCATTGGTCCTGGTTTAAGGACAGACATACAGACCAGTGGAACAGAATTAAGAGACCAGAAATAAATCCCTGCATTTATGGGTGAATTAGTTCAGGTTGCCATATAAAATGCCATCACTGGGTGGCCTAAACAACAGAAATGGATTTCTCAGTTTTTGGAGGCTAGAAGTCCAAAAACAGGGCACGAGCATGGTTGGGTTCCGGCGGGAGCCTGCTACCCAGCTTTCAGAGCCCACCACGTCATTATGCCCTCATAGTGGGAAGAGAGGGGGTATGCCCATAAGCCCTCTGGTGCCTCTTCTTAAGGCACTAACTCTTTATGGGGTCCCCACCCTCATGAACTCACCTAACTATCTCCCAAAGACCTCCTCTCCAAGCACCATCACATCGGACATGAGGGACTCAGTATATACATTTTGGGTGGAAAGAGTTTGGTATATAACAGTGAGCAACTGATTTTCCACAAGGGTGTCCAGGAAACAATAGCTTCTTCAGAAAAGATTGCTGGGAGCTAGGCATGGTGGCATGCACCTGTAGTCTCAGCTACTCCAGAGGCTGAGGTAGGAGAATCATTTGAGCTCAGGAGTTTAAGACTGGCCAGGGCAACACAGTAAGACCTCCATCTAAAATAAAAAGGAAAATGGTGCTGGGACAACTGGATATCCATATATAAAAGAATGAAATTTGACCCCCTTTCCTTATGCCATACTGTGCTACATAAAAATGTAAAACTTAGCCAGGCTCGGTGGCTCAGCCTGTAATCCCGCGCCTTTGGGAGGCTGAGGTGAGTGAATTGCCTGAGCCCGCGGGTTTGAGACCCGCCTGGGCAGTGAGACCTCATTTCTACAATAAATCAAAAAATCAGCCGGGCGTGGAAGCGCATGCCTGTAATTCCGGCTACTCGGAAGGCTGAGGCGGAAGGATCGCCGGAGCCCCGCTGGTCGAGGCTGCGGTGGCTGGAAGCGGCCACTGCACTCCAGTCTGGGTGACAGAGTGAGACTCCAACTCAAAAAAAAAAAGTAAAACTTTTGTGTTACAAATGATACCATCAAGAAAGTGAAAAGACAACCCACAGAATGGGAGAAAACTTTTGCAAATCATATGTCTAATAAGAGTCTAATAGGTAGAATATAGAAAGAACACTTGTGACTCAATAATATAAAGACAGATACTCCAATTTAAAAATGGGCAAGGCCAGGCTCAGTGGCTCAGCTGGTAATCCCAGTACTTTGGGAGGCTGAGGCAAGTGGGTTGCCTGAGCCCACGGGTGCAAGACTAGCCTGGGCAACTTGGTGACCTTGTCTCCACAATAAATTTTTTAAAAAATAGTTAACCAGGCATAGTAGCATGCACCTGCAGTTGCAGCTACTTGGAAGGCAGAGGCAAAAGGATCGCTGGAGCCCAGCAAGTCAATGCTGGGGTGGCCATGGGTATGCCACTGCATTCCAGTCTGGGCGACAGAGTGAGACTCTAACTCAAAAAAAAAAAGAAAGAAAAGAAAAGAAAAAAGGGGGCAAAGGATATGAATCAATAGGTCTCCAAAGAAGATATAAAAATGGCAAATAAGCATATGACAATATGCTCAACATCATTAGTCATCAGGGAAATACAAATGAAAACCACAATGAGAGACCCGTTCACATCCACTAGGACGCAGGATGGCAACAGTAAAAAATACAAATAATAAGTCTTGCTGAGGATATAGAGAAACCTAAGCCCTTATACACTGCTAGTGGAAATGTAAAATATAACAGTCTGGAAAACGGGTCTGGCAGTCCTTCAAAAGGTTAAACATAGAGTTGCCATATGATCAAGCAATTCCACTCCTAGGTACATAGCCAAGAGACATAGACACACAGGCTCAACACAAACCTGAACACAAATGTTCACAACAGCATTCTCAGAGTAGCCAAAAAGTAGAAACAACCTAAATGGCCACCAATTAATAAATAGATAAACAAAATGTGGTAGACCCATACTTTGAAATATTATTTGACAAGAAAAAGAAATGAAGTACAGACTGGGGATTCATTTAAACTAGTTTCTCTCATTAGTTAGCTGTTGACAATTCTCTAAGTTCACCAAACATGAGTATCCAAAATTACTGAAAAGTTCAATTGATGCTCTATTTTCAAAATTTTGACCACACACAAGTTGCTGTGATCTGAATGTCTGTGTCCCCACAAAATTCATGTTGAAACTTAATCCCCAGTGTGGTGGTATTAAGAGATGGGGCATCTGGGAGATGATTAGGTCATCAGGGCTCCACCCTCATAAATGGGATTAGTGTCCTTATAAAAGAGATTCGAGAATCTTTGCTCATCCCTCCTGCCAAGTGAGGACATGGAGAAGGTTCCGTCTATGAAGAAGTAAGGGGCCAAATCTGCTGGTGCCTTGATCTTGGACTACCCAGCCTCCAGGACTGCAATACATTTCTGTTGTATAAAAATTACTCCTTCTAAGGCATTTTTATAGCAGCCCAAATGGACGTGAGAACAAAGTTATGATCTTATATAAACATACATACATACAATTTACTTAAAGGTATACATACCAATACTATAGAAGTCAGTATGTGGCAGTGGTCTCAACAGGGAGCTATTTTGTCCCTCAGAGGACATGTGGCAAAGTCTGGAGGCATTCGAGTTACCACAACTAAACATGCTAACATGCAGAGCACTGCCCCAACAGCAAAGAATTATAATAGTGTCCCAAAATATTAATAGTGTCACTATTGAGAAATCCTGGCCTAGAATAATTCATTCAAATTACTGGAGAGCATACCGTTCACTTCTCCGTTCCCAGGATCAGTCTTAAGTTAGAGCTTAACCTCTACAATACTAAGCCTCTAATAGCAACACTTAGCCTCTACTAATACTAATTAGTAAGGTAATTTGGAATTTAAATAAATAAATTTTTCTTATCAGGCTACAAAACATATGAAAATAGATGAAATAAAAACACATACACATATAAGTTTAAAAATAAACAATTACATATTAGACTTAAATATAAGGGGAAAAGATTTTTTAAAAAACACTTACTGTAAAAATGTTCTAAATTCTGAAGCTTCCACATTCTCCACAGTAACAGGCTCATGATCTGTTAAGTTACTTGATGTCTCTCCAACAGTATGAAAATAGAAGTCTGGAACCCTTGCTAAAAGAACTGCTTTGTGTGCTCTGAACAGAGTACAACCTATGGAGAAGGTAACATCTGCATGGATTTCTTCCCTTAGAAGTCTGTAAAGAATAAAAAGGAATCATAGTTTAATTAACAATGCTAAGAAATATATACTTGTTAGAAAATAGGTTTAAAAATAGTGCTATTTTTAAGGCTAAAAAATACAAAGACAATATAAAATAAAAATAAGATAATATAAAAATGAATTTGAGCCAGGTGCAGTGGCTCACACCTGTAATCTCAGCACCTTAGGAGGTAGAGATGAGAGCACTGCCTGAGTTCAGAGGTTTGAGACCAGCCTGGGCAACTTGGGGAGACCTTGTCTCTATAATTAAAAAAAAAAAAATCAGTCTGGCATGGTGGCATGCACCTATAGTTCCAGTTACTTGGAAGGCTGACGCAGAAGGATTGCCAGAGCCCAGCAGGTCAAGGCTGTGGTAGCTGTGAGAGTGCCACTGCACTCCAGTCTGGGCATCAGTGAAGCTTGGACTCAAAAAATTGAATTTTCTAAAATTTATAGTGAAGACAAAGATAAATTTTCACTAAAAAAGACTACTTTTTCAAAACATAACTTTTCTTATGAGTTCTAATAATAATAAAATGAATTTTTGCTACTTATTTTCCTTTCCTTCATTACACCTTTTTTTGTTTTTTTTTTTTTTTAGTTGGAGTCTCACTCTGTCGCCCAGACTGGAGTGCAGTGGCCGCTCCCGGCCACCGCAGCCTCGACCTGCTGGGCTCTGGCGATTCTTCCGCCTCAGCCTTCTGAGTAGCCGGAATTACAGGCATGCGCTACCACGCCCGGCTGATTTTTTGATTTATTGTAGAGATGAGGTCTCGCCAAGCTGCTCAGGCGGGTCTCGAACCCGGGGGCTCAGGCAATTCACTCACCTCAGCCTCCCAAAGGCACAGGATTACAGGCTGAGCCACCGAGCCCGGCTACACCTTTTTTTTTAAGATTGGAAAATGTAGTTTATTTGGAGAGTAAATTAGAGAGAGAAGATTCACCTCCCCAAGATGGGGCAGGGGGCCAAAACTCCACTAGACTTACTTTGAAACACAGAACACAAAGTTAACAGGGCCATTGATTATTGAAAAGAATCAATGTTTCAAACAACTTACTAACATTGAAGCAAAAAAGTAAACAGTCAATAACACCAACAAACTGAATACATCAGTAGACAATTCAGATTAGAAACTGGTACATTTTGTTCTGACTAATGTCAATTACCAAGTCTGAAATGGAGGCTTGGCTGTCAAGAATGTGACATTTAGGCCCCTTTCCATTCCCCTGTCCCACAAATAGAACTTATCATGCTGTAATCTATCATTAAGATGATGGACTCATGAGGCAAACCCACTCAAATTCCTTCACTAATGCACAGACATAGTTGTGGTCAAGCCCACTCGTTACATGTGAAGTGACAGAAGAACTGAAACCAACATCATAACAGAAACTATCATAACAATATTTTTTCTCTTTGCAGTAACTATATTATTTTACTCTCTAAATATCAAATAATATATCCTATCTCTATAGCAATAACATCAGCAAGGTATGCATTCTTAGAGGACTTCTGCATATAATATACATTGCTATAAGTGGCAATCACACTAGTATACTACAGGAGGAACAAGGAAGGGATAAAGGTATCCATTACAGTGAGAGCTTGGAATGTTGCCAATGACACTCCTGCTCCCCCAAGGTCAAGTTAATGGCTCCTTCCTCTAATTCCATCACACTAGCTACCCGCACACCTATATAGCACTTCTATCATTGCATCATTATTATTTGTATGTGTCTTGCTCCCTTCCAGACAATGAACTCCCCAAGGGCAAACACTGTTAGTATACAACAAGAGTTCAATATCTGCTTATTGAATGATCCTATTTTACCCTAAACAAAACAAATGCTTCAGAGCACAAAAGCTTTCAGACCCTGAAAAAACAATGAGTCAACAGATGTATCCTAGTTGGGTCAATATTTTCATCAATAAATTAGTTGCACAAGTAATTTTCAAAGTTACACAAAAATGTGTTGGTCTCTTAAACTTTCATTCAAAACTCACATTATAAAAGCACTCAGTCTGTTCCTCCCTCCCACCCACCTTCTCATCCCACTTCTCCCCAAATGAACAAGGAAGCATGGCAGCCAGTAGCCATACGACCATCATAAGGGAATCCACCTTGTTCCTAACAGGAGCTCATGAGTACTCGTTAAAGGAAAAAAACAATAATGTGTGTTTTAAATTATTAATGTGAAAATATAGTGCTTTTTATTTGATAAGACCACTTGTATCCACTATCTGTTTCAACTGTATCTTGTATCCGTTACAAGTAACAGAAAATCTGACTCAGACTGGCTTAAGTATTAATGAAGGTTTGTTGACTCATCTAACAGTAAAGCCCAGAAGAAAGACGGATTGGAGCAAAGGCTCAGTGATGCTAAGGACTGGCTTCTTTCCATCTCATGTCTTTGCCAACTACTATATTAACCTATCTTAGTCCGTGTTGTGGTGCTGGAACAGAATACCACATACTGGGTAATTTCCAATGAGCAGAAATGTGTTGGCCCACAGTTCTGGAAACTGGGAAGTCCAAGATCAAGGTGCTGACATCTGGTGAGGGCCTTCTTGCTACATCATCTGCCACGTGGTAGAAGACAAGAAGGTGAGAGGGAGACAGAGGGAGCCCAACTCACCTTTTCATAACAGCACCAATCACACCCATGAGGGTGGAACCCTCCTGGCCTAATCACCTCTTAACGGTCCTACCTCTTAATACTGTTACAATGACAATTAAATTTCAACATGAGTTTTAGAGAAGACAAACATTCAAACCATAGCATAACTAAGGCATCTTAGACTGAAGATAAAACTCTGCTGTCACTAAACATTCATTGAGCACATACTATGTTCCAAGACACTGGGAACATAAAGGACTAAAATGTAATACCTGCCCTCAGGGAGCTTACAGTATAGTAAGGAAACTGCTTTGAAAAATAAGGAGTGGGCCGAGCTCGGTGGCTCAGCCTGTAACCCCGCACCTTTGAGAGGCTGAGGTAAGTGGACTTCCTGAGCCCACGGGTTCAAGACCCGCCTGGGCAGGCAAGACCTCATCTCTACAATAAATAAAAAAAATGAGCCGGGCGTGGTAGCATGTGCCTGTAGTTCCAGCTACTTGGAAGGCTGAGGCGGAGGGATCGCCAGAGCCCAGCAGGTCGAGGCTGCGGTGGTCAGGAGCGGCCACTGCACTCCAGTCTGGGCGACGGAGTGAGACTCCAATGCAAAAAAAAAAAAGAAAGAAAAATAAGGAGTGGGATACGAGGTCTGATAATTAGGTTTGTGAACCATCCTAAAAGAAGTACTACATACTTCACTGCTGAATATCATCATTACAGTCACCTTCAAAGTACTCCCCCTGGTAAACTATGCACTGATGCCAGTGCCTAGTCCACTTGTCAAAGCAATTTTGGAATTCTTTTTCTAGAATGGCCATAAGAACTGTCATTGTTATTTACTGACACAATTAAAAACTGACAATTAAGTTCACAAACTTGCCACCATGTGCTTACGTTGGCAGCACTGTACAGATAACTGTATTGGAACATCCTCCTTCCTCACCTGCTCTGGCCCCCAATGACTTATTTCTTTACCCCTAGACAAAGGAAATATTGAAAGGAAGACATCTGATGACATTCAGGACATCAAGGGTAATATGGTGATGGTTCTGATGGCCATTCAAGAAATAGAGTTCCAAAATTGCTTTGATGTATGGACTAGGCACTGGCATTGGTGCATAGCTTCCCAAAAGAGTACTTTGAAGGTGACCATAGTGGCATTCAGCAGTTAGGTATGTAGCCCTTTTTCTAGGGTGGTTCGCGAACCTAATTGCCAACCTCACATATTCAATAGCACAAACAAGTGTGTATTGTTCAGGGACAGACATAAGAGGAGACCTCACTGGGGACATGAAAACAAAATGGGACTTTAAAGACTGAATAAGAAGCCGGACACAGTGGCTCAAGTCTGTAATCCCAGTACTTTGGGAGGTCAAGGTGCGAGGATTGCCTGAGCCTGAATCAAGGGGTTTGAGATCAGCCTGGGCAACTTTGGTGAGACCTCATCTCTACAATAAAAAAAAAAAATTTGCTGGA